GAGCCAAAATCAATGAAGCAGAAAAGATTCAAAAAGTAGAGAAAATAAAAATAAAAATTGTTTTTTTTAAAAGAATAGTAAAATTAATAAACCCCAGTCAATTAATAAAAAAAATTCACATTATTATAACAGAAAGAGGGATTATCACTGCTGGTCTTACAGGCATCAAAAGTCAACATGGGAATATTATAAACAACTTTATCCTAATAAATTCAGCAGCCTAGATGAAATGTACCAATTAACGTAAAAATACAACTTATCAATTCTTTAATAAGGGAATTCGACTTCCAGAATGGCCATGTGGGGAGCTAAACACAGCCCCTCCCAAGTAAAACGGGGAAAACTTATAAATGTTTTAAAGTCTCTGGAAATAGTTGTAAGGGTATCATATAGCAAATGAAAAACTGTATGTTCAAGAAAATACACTAAAACTCAGGAAGAACAGCAGCGTCGGTCCCAGCCCAGCGGGATGGAGACTCGGCTCAGGTGGCTGTGGCCAGAGCACAGGGCCCGGCCCCCCCTCTCCCCCGTTTCGAGCCCAGGGCAACGGTGCCCTCCCGGGAGGGGCTGGCTGCCAGCACTCATCCCCCGAGGAGACCAGAGGCCACTGTCCCCCGCCAAGGCCCAAGTCCGAAAGCATGAGAGTCCTTCAGAGAGAACCTGCCCCTGTTCCTGACCCAGCTCCGGAGACCTACAGCTGCCAAAACAGCCTTGAAAAAAATGGAGCAAAGATGAGGGACCCAAGCCCCCCGAGTCCAGCACCTACCGTGAGGCTGCTGCAGGGACAGGCCCAGGCCCCGGCTCAGGCAGGCTCTTAATCTTTGCCAAGACACCAAAGTTATCTGATGGTGAAAGGAAAGTCTTTTCAATAAATGGTGCTGAAAAAATGACTGTCAATACAGAAAAATGCAAACGTCAAACTCTGCTTCACACAGGGAACAGAAGTCAGCCGGAGAAAAGCCTACATGTAAAACCACCACCATGAAGGCTTTAAAGAAAACACATAAAGATATTTTGAAACTGGAGGGTGGGGAAAGGTTTCTTAAATAGGACACAGAAAGCTATAACCATAAAAAAAAGTGATAAATTGCATTTAATCAAAATTTAAAACTACTGCTCATCAAAAGTCACCATTAAGAAAATGAGTGAGTGAGCTACAGATGGGAGAAAATATTCACAAAACACTCAGCAAAAGGCTTATAAACAAGATATGAGGAATCTCTACCAATTATTAATCATAAATAGACAAAAACTGTAATGGGCAAAGGCTTTGAACCGACGCCGCACCGAGGAAGCCGTGTGAGCAGCCAACACGCATCCGCCACGGGGGGGAGGCTCACGTCAAAACCACACGAGATGCCACCGCACACCCACCGAAATACCAAACCAAGAAAGGCTGCCGACACCCAACGCAGGCAGCGACACGGAGAGCCTGGGATTCTGCTACGTCGCCCGTGGGGACGGAAACTGACACGAGCGTTTTGTGAAAATACTTGGCCGTTTCTTCTAACGTTAAACGCACCCCGAACTCTTACCCAGCCCCGCCACTCAGATATTTAGCCAAGACCAGTGGCAACAGAGTCCACTAAAGGAACTGAGCAAAAATGTTCGTAGCAGCCTCGCTGACAACTGAAAGAACTGGACACAATCCCAATGTTTACCAAAAGGAGGGCAGATAAACGGTTTGTGGAATATTTGCTGCCATGAAACATCTCAGCCATTAGAGAGGACGGACACGCATGACACATAACAACGGGAAGACTTTCAGGGCCTCCTACTAAACAAAAGCTGTCGGACACAAAAGGCACCTGGTGTGTGATGCGCTAAAACAGGCAAAACTAAGCTAAAGTTAAAAAAAAACCTGTCCTCTGGCTTTAAAAAAAAAAAAAAAAAATTTTAATCCTCACCTGAGGCTATTTTTCCATAGATTTCTAGGGAAAGAGAAAGAAACATCCATCGGCTGCCTCCTGTGCGCACCCCGGCTGGGGATCGAACCCACAGCTTCTCGGTGTTTGAGTCGACGCCAACCCTCCAAGCCACCGGCCAGGCCAGCGCTGACCGTCTGAGGGGAGGAAACTGCCCGGAAATGGACGCACGGGGACTTTCTGGGGCTGTGGGAACGTTCTGCCTTGTGATAGGAACACAGGTTCACGGTTGGCCACGTGTCAGGACGGAATGGCAATGATGTGCGAGTTTCAACGTAAATCTTACCTTAAAATGCTAAAATGACAAAAAATTTGCAGTCATTATCGAATGTGGGTGGGAAACGGGCAGAGGAGACTAGGAAGCCAGACTGGCAGCTATTGCACCTGGAGCGGCAGGTTCGCTGGACTTGTTTCCTGTGTATATGTCTGAGATTTTTGTCATGAAAAGTTTAGGAAGACAAATGAAGAGGCACTAAGCTTTCATTATAACCTTTCATCCCACCCAGGTCCCCCCCCAGAAATCAAATATGGCCAAGGCTTTGAGGGAGAGCATTCTGGTTAATTAAACAGTATTCATTTCTAAAATATTCTACTTATTCAGACCGGGAGCCTGGAGAGTTGGATGAAATTTAATACACGAGTGACCGATTTCTCCCACATATTTGCCTAATTACCCTGGAACAGGGTTTCCTTGCCGGGACACCATGGACATTTTAGGCCACGTAATCTGTGCTGTGGGACTGCCCCAGGAACTACAGGGTGTTTAGCGGCACCCCCGGCCTCCAAGCACTAGATACAAGCGGCACACCCCACCCCAAACTGTGTTGGCCAAACCTGTCCCCAGACGTTGCTCGAAGCCCGCCTCAGCCAGGACAGCGTCGCCCCTGGGGGTGAGAGCTGGTTCCTGGGAGGACGAGAAACCTCAGACACCACAATGTCCCTGGGGTCCCCAAAGGGCCACAGCCCACGATCAGACACAGTCTCTCTGTGGCCTTAAGGTTTCATGGTCGAGATGAGCAACTGGGAGAAAGTCTAATAAGGGAGAGGCGATGACGACAGGAAGGCTGGAAAACGGCACCGAGAGGCCTGGGTCCGCCTACAGCAATCACTCCTCCAGGGGCTTGGCACCCCAAACCCAGCCTTCCTGGTGTTCAGGGGCACTCCATTTATACGAAGATGACCTAAGTAAGGGCGGCTACTTCCCGAACCCCAAAACTGCCCTGGAAGCAGAGCCGCAGGATAACACAGATCCGAGGAAAAAGCTCGGAGGGGCTCCTGCCGAATGTGATGACGCCCCAGACCTCATGGTGACCCTGGGTGCCCCCCAACCTGACGGTGACCCTGGATGACCCCGACCTGATGGTGACCCTGCACGCCACTCGACCTGACGGTGACCCTGCATGCCCCTCGACCTGACGGTGACCCTGCACACCGCTCGACCTGACGGTGACCCTGGACGCCCCCTGACCTGACGGCGACCCTGCATGCCCCTCGACCTGACGGCGACCCTGCACGCCGCTCGACCTGATGGTGACCCTGCACGCCCCTCGACCTGACGGTGACCCTGCATGCCCCTCGACCTGACGGTGACCCTGCACACCGCTCGACCTGACGGTGACCCTGGACGCCCCCTGACCTGACGGCGACCCTGCATGCCCCTCGACCTGACGGCGACCCTGCACGCCGCTCGACCTGATGGTGACCCTGCACGCCCCTCGACCTGACGGTGACCCTGGACTCATTTCTAAGTTACAGGAGAAGCTGCACAAGTGGAGCTGACCCCAGACACAGGACCACCGAGTGCGCTGGTCGAACCAAAGACCTAAGCAGCCGGTGCCGCACGCTACCACCCCTAAAAGGAAGGAAGGTGGTGCTTTTCAAGCTTCCCATCCACCAGCAACATCCCCGGTAATTTCATTCATTAAATGACGCAAAACAAACGCATCCTGCATTTCCTCTGCTCTCCTGCTTCCCGTTTCCTGACGCAAGGGTCGGCCCCCCCGCTCCCCCGAGCGCCACCTGTGGCCCTGCTCTTCTCCAGCGGTCTCAGAACCACCAGCATGGTACACCCTCTGCCAGGCCCTGTGCACTCCCCGGACACGTGCTGTATCTTGTTTACCTTGGTGTCCCCAGCACAGTGCTGGCACCCAGTCCTTCAGTAACATCGATGGAACGACTGAGCCAGGATGCTCCGGAGACCTCAGCTGGGGAAAAACGACAGCACGGATGCTGCTGTCCATTTAAGGCACTACACTGGGACGTCGCATGTGCCGAGGGGCTAAAGAAGACCCTGCACCTGGTCACGCAGGTGCGGCGGACGCTCACACTACCTGCAGCACCGGAGGCAGACGGAGGTCGAGGCACAGGGCTGACACCTGGGAGCAGACTCCGTCACCCCTCAAAGACCTTGTTTCCCACCACACTTGGCTGTACCTTGTTCACGTTACTTTTCAAAATATGTTTTTATTGATTTTTAGAGAGAGAGGAAGGGAGAGGGAGCCAGAAACATCCACGATGAGAGAGTCCTCGATCGGCTGCCTCCTGCACGGCCCTGCTAGGGATCGAGCCCGCAACCCGGGCATGTGCCCTGACCGGGAATCGAACCAGAGGCCTCCCGGTGCATGGTCGATGCTCAACCTCTGAGCCACGCCGGCCGGGCTCATTTATATTATTTAGTCTTTGCCTTAAGGCTGGTCCCTGCTCGAATATCTATGATCAGTGTGTGGGTGTGCGTGTATACACATGTATGCTGACACTGGTACACACACAGGCACACGAGTCCCTGCACTGAAGGGATAAACTAGAGCGAACACTGGGCTGAAAAGCAGGAGGTCCCAGCAAGCACAGGTAATTCCTCACACGTCAGGTTCCTGAGTGATACCGACACAGGGTGAAGAGTCACGTGTCACACCCGCCAAGCTCACAGAAGCAGCACATACAATGTTTGTAAAGGCCAGAGCCTCGTCCACAGGCCATCGCTCCCAGCTGAAGACCCTGTTTGGAAATGCGCCCAACGCTCAGGTACCCACACGGTTCCCGCCACCTGACCCCCACAGGAGGCAACCGGGAACTCACAAGAGGAGTGGATGCTGGGGAAGCTTTTGCGGCCCTCGGACACCAGGTCGGGGTCACCTGTGCAGTGCATTTCTGAGTTCATCACTCCATCTGGAAAGCAGCGGTAAAAGAAATCGGGGCGAGGTCTACAAAAGACACCATGGACATTTTCAATATAAATGCTGCCGTTGCAAACGAGCCCCGAGCCG